TACCTATTGGTTCACCAGATGTCGCGACTGTTTTACATTGACGAGCTGAATTTATTAAAGCTACCCTCATTTCTAGTGATAACAAGGAAGTAAACTAGATGGCGCTCATTGTACAGATTTTTATTTTGTTTAGGATTAGCGCCATCTAGCCATGCCAACGTTTATCTACAAATTAGTTTATAATACACACTGCCATCTATTGATACGCATTGTTATCCACAATTAATTCCTCTTTAATATGAAATGGAGCTAAAATTGTAATATAAACTACTTCCAGGCTATCTAACAGCGCCTTCTAAAATAAGACGGGATATTGTGCTTTTTTAGAGTTACAATCTGTAAGTATGGAGATTAGCAGTCCTATTAGATATTGATTCATGATACTATTTGTAGTTATCATTAAAATTGATTTGTCTTCTAGAAATTTACGGAAATTGTTGCCTAACTGGAAGCTTTAGAAGTTAAAAGCGCGACCATTTTTTCAACACAAACATTGTACGCATGGCTACAGCGTTGTTGTTGCATTTTCAGTGTAAGCTGACACATTACGCCTTTGTAAAACCAGGTTTGATTATACTAGTAGTCTAAAACGCATCGTGTGGTCATTCGTATAGGGTCAAGAGCACGTCAAGCTTTACACTAAAGACTGAAATCCAACTGTTTACGCTACGATAAGAATTGTCCAAAGTACAAAGTGTCAAGCTTGATGTGCTCTTGACTGTACATTACACTAACATTTTAATGGTGAAGCAGAATCTGTATCGTCTTTTGTAAGTGTACCTGAATTAATTGGGATAAGGTTTTTTTTTTAAGGAATGTTCAGATAATTTTAATGCTGACTGTAGCTTTACTGCTTTTATTTTTATTAGTTTAGCTATAACACGGTGCAAAGAAGCGATTTTGAGTTCTGTGATTGTGTTTTGTTTAAGTATGTGAATAAATAATGTATTAAAAATTGTTTTTTTTTTTAATACTTTAATATTGTTGTGACTAATTGTACCTAACCTGGGCCTCTACTATGAGATTACACAGACAGTTATCGCTAGCGAGCGCGTAAAATCTTTGTATACAAAATGTTGTTTCTTCTTGTGACCACTAGGAACATAAATACCTACCTACCTACAATTTATTAGAATCCTGTCATAATATAAACAACAAACGTGTATTTTGTATATTTTTATAATATCAAGTGAAGGGACGAACAAGTCGTGTACCTGGTAAGCGACACGCCTGTCCATAACAGTTGCAATGCCGCTCGGAGCTTTAAAACGCAAAGATCTGCGGGCACAGCCAGTGCGCCTGTCCGTCACTCTGAGCCAGGTTGTAAAGTCCCATGTTCCTGTAATTTTACCAGCACCTTACCCTTCTAACTTCTTTCTTCCTATTAAGCCGTTTTAGCGCTTACAATATTTTTGTTATCTGTATCTAAAGATTTCTCGTTTTTTCTTTTTTTTTATAATACCATGTAGTATGTTTTAAGGTAACACTTGCGATCAGTGTTTTTTGCCTAAACTTTGTTTAAAAGTAAACGACGAAATAGTGATGTACTATGTCTTTTGCGATAAAAAGTGTGGTCGCTTACATTATGTTTGTCAGTCAGACTAAAATATAAAAACAGCAGAGCTAACAATAAACTTCTATAATTTCTATTTATGTAATTTTGACGACGAGACGCGTCCTTGCCCCTTATAGTTTTAAATATCATTTTGTGATAAAAACGCTGTTTAGGTAAAAATGTCGCCAACGATAAATGGGCGGAAATGGCTCGATATGTGAAATTTTATAATCTCTTATTTAAGCAAAAAAAGTTGTCGACTAATTTCATTCGTAGTATCTTTAAACTCTCTCCTGAAAAGGCATTTTGCAGTTGTGACCTTATTACACCAAGGGTGCGAATTCTTCATTTTACTGTACACCTATCAATACACTCGTAATCATGGTAGAGAGTCATTGCAATAACTTGTGGAGCTAATAAGGGCTCGCTCCCATTATGTCGTGACGACAGATAGTCGTGCAGTTTAAAGTGTCGTGGCTTGTATATTTAAATGAATTTGTACACGTATTTACTATATGATGATGATGATCTGATGAATTGTCGTTCAAGACTTTTTTGACGGTACGACAACAGACTCGTGACATGGGAAGGGCTAGAACGACAATCGCCAGACGATAAATAAAACGTCTCGATTAAAATATGACGACAGATAATCGCAGCAAATGATTCTGTCATTCAAACGACAAGGCGGCTACCGTGAACCGATAAATTGTCGTCACGATCTAATGGGAACAGCTAGACACGACACGACAGTCGTTCAACGATAAACATCTACGACACAGTCACGACAGATAGTCGAGATGTCCAACGAATTATAAAACGTTACGTCACAATAGGAACGCGCACTTAATGTTAGTTTATCCGTGACTTAATAAGTAAACCAGTACAGTGGCGTAATGATTAGGTGACAAGATTGGAAATGTGCCAAGTACTCCCACCCTAACCGACCGGTCGCTCTCGCCCCATAATGAGTACAGCCCATTAGGTCCAAAGCGAAGCGGGGAAAAAAGCAGTGTTTCAGCAACCAAAAGTTTTTTAGTATTTTGACATCTTTAATGCTAACGAAATATTGTTTGTTGAGAAAACACAGTTCTACCAAAGTAGAGCTGAGAAGAACTGTGTTTCCTGAGAACTGTGGTTTGAATCACAGCATGAACATAGGCGACACGCCTAGCTAGATTATTGGAAAATGTTGACATAGACAAATTATAGACTATTTTTTCAAGCCCTAGAGGATGGAAAAAAATATTTTAGAACGCGTTTCATTGGTTCCAAAGATTACAGTGAACATGGGTTCTTTGTAGAAATATCCGCAGAGGATGGAAAAAAGCTTAGATATGGAAAAAAAAAAGAAATGAAGTGCCCTAACTACGGAATGAACGTGCATTCCTAAACAAAAATTGAACGAACAAATGTCGGATTTCTTTAGTGTCGTACTATAATCTATCGATAAGTCATTATCGACATGCAAACATTTAATTAAAGTACATCAATATTCCATTTGGGAATATTTTAGGTTATATGGGAATATCCGGGAATGTCACATGAAATTTTGAATTATTGTTTTGCGTTTACATATACTCAAATATTACGAAAAGTGAATTTGCACAGAAAATGTAATTTGAGAGTATATAAAAAAGAGAAAACTTTGAAATATAACTCCTATACATTTCCAACCTTAAGATTCATATTTTCATAGAGAAATTTTTAAACAGATTCCAAATAGTGTAGGCTTTTTTGTAGTTATGCATTGGTGTAGAATTAATATCAGTGAAGTGAATCTTTAATACTTCCATTTAATTTTGGAAATAAATGAAAGTAGTAATATTATCAATAATAATATTATTATCATACGTTTATTTGCTTAAAACATGGTATAACAGGAGATGTACCAAGAGACAGTGTAAGTAAAAACATGTTTTGCATATATTAAATAGCATGCAAATGTCTGATTATACAATGTCAATTGACTACTATTGGCCGAGCGCCTTTGATTTGTGCAGAAAATCGACACTTCTCCGACGTGAGACAAGTAGTCACGAGCGATTGCGAGTTGTGACAAGCCACGTCAAACGAGCGCTATACATGTTAGCGCTCGCCTTCACTCGATCAGCTAGGCGAGTGACACCGAACGATGGCAAGGCTGTCTATACGTTGGTATTGGCCTTCACTCGGCAACGTTAGACCAACATGGTCCTTGTATTGCTGGCTTTATAAAATAAGAATTTTTAGTAGTTAGAGTTGTCAGTGGGAAAAAATCGGAAACGAGTGGATAATTTTGTTTTCAGGAACTGAGAATGCCTAGTAAATGAGTCTTGTTTAATCTAAATTAAATATAAAATTATTTACCAATAAACCTAATGATTGAATTGCATTATCATGTAATCTAGGTATATTAAAAGTTATGTTAAAATTTGACTTTTCAAAATGAAGCGAATAATAAAAATGAAGATGGTCTTTGATTCAATGTTTATATTCGGCACTATTATACGGCGGTATGATTTCCCACCATTCTTTTTTCTTTTTTGATTTGTAGGTAAACTTGAAATAGTAAAAATAATAATAATAAAATAATAAAAACATCGTAGTGAATTATTTTAATAACAGAATATCGATAATATGTACGCTTCCAAGAATAACACTATCTCAAAACAATTGCTAACAACAATCATCAAAATATACAAACAAACAGGCAATCTGAAGAAACCAAAACAAAATTTGGCAAGATTTATGAATAAACTACTTAAATATGTCTAATTACATGAGATATTTGGGCTTTTGTGTCATTTATAGACAGAAAAATAACACGTTCCTGTACAATGATATATTCGGTCGATCTTCGCTTTTTCAAATGCCACATCCCGTAAAGCTGCAGCGACGAATTTTTATTAATACTTAATTGTTCTCACTGTCAACATTTATGTCCATTTTATTAAAATACATGCGTATAATTCAATAAAACACTTGGAAAAACATTTGTTTTGAGATTTGATGAACTTCCCTTTGACAACCGTATCATGTACCTCATGTACTGCGAAATGGACACGATTGGCATTTAAGATGACGTAATGTATTTTCGATTCCTGTGTTTGACACAGACCAATGTAATGCTATCTCTTTTAGCTTAAGATGGCATGCAAGAGTTAAACAAAGACAATAACATGTTTATGTTTTCAATATCGAAATGCATCATATACATATAACGTCTGATTTATATATGTCAACATAACATGTCCTTTAGTTTCCATAGTCTAAGGAAAAAAGTCTAAGAAATAATCGATTGCCATCATTGCCATCAATGTCTTGTTGAAGTTGAAAATATTTCATTCTATTCCATTCATGGAAATAATAGCATTCAAGTTGAAGTTGAATAATTTTGCTATTGATTTACCGTCATAGTTTTTATAATATTCTTATAAAATAAGGCACAAACCTATAGTGGCCGCCATAAACGAAATAATAATTATAATACTTTTTGAAGTTGATATTCGTCAATTTACTATATTTTATTAGTATTTATTATATTATATATCCTATGACTTCTTTTAGAAAAATGCGTATTATGTTTCGAAAGATCACAGTGAAACGTCTATTTTACATAACGTTAATATTATTCCTGACAAGCTATATGCTATCAAGTTTTTTTTCCGTGTTCATCAATTCGATGGACTTCATGTTTTCATTTTATCAATATCTACCTGATGATGTCAGTTGTTATTTTGATAAAAACGTCAATGATGATTACAATGGACCATACTTGAATAACTCATTTCCTGATGACGTGTTTTTGCATTATACATCTTGCCACTTAAATTTGAAACCTGCTTATCTTTGTGCTATAGAAGCGGCTTCAGTTGCTTATCCTACAAAAAAGGTGAACGTTCTTTTCAATAAACCTTTGTCGTTCTGCTCATGTCAGCAAACTATTATTAGTCAAATAATACACCATGGTAATGTGGAATTTGTTAAAATACAAATTGAAAAACATTTAAATGCCACTCCTTTTAAAGACGTCATTGGACCTTTTGAAAACAGTGTGTTAAATCGTGGTATGAGAAGATATAAAAAAGTCGAAAATATGTTAAAGTTAGCGACGCTGTTCAATTATGGAGGAAGAATCATTGACATGGATGTGATTGTCACTGATCGAATTCATGACGGGAATAAATGGCTTGTTATGGAACATCATGACTTGGTGAGCTCTGCTGTTATGGCTTTTAGTCAGAACAAAGATGAAATAATCAAGAGAAGTATCGAGTAAGTAAATTCTACTCTGGTTGTAGCTACTATACTCGGTTGATCGTAATAAAACTGCGGGTTATGATGCTGAGATATCTGTGTCGTATACACAGATATCTAAGGGCTGCCTTTTATATTTCGGGATTAGAGAACAATAACAAATATTTATCCCAGAAAATCAATTTAAGTAGTGCATGCATTTAAATCAACCTTCGAAACACTTCTTCCACTCTAATTGAGGTAGGTAGCTCCAATAAAAACCTTTTAAATGCATAAACCGCTTCCTCAGGTGTGAAAAAACGTAGGGTGGTCGCCCTGCGAATGTGCAGGGCGTACATGACGGTGGCCTGCGCTGCCGCATGCGTCCTCGCCGGTACTCCGCCGTGGGACCTCGAAGCCGAGGTCCTGGCGGAGGTCCGCACCTACCGGCGGGGAATGAGGGACCGAGGTGAGCGACCCGCTCCCCAAGAGGTGGAGCGGGAGCGCCGCCTCGCGGCGCAGCGCATGCGGGACCGGTGGAAAGAGGGCTTGGCGGATCCCCCCTATGGTGCTCGTACCATAGAGGCGATTCGCCCTGTCCTCGTAGATTGGGTAAACCGGTCTCACGGGCCACTGTCGTACCACCTTGTGCAGGTGCTGACCGGGCACGGCTGCTTCGGTCACTACCTGCACAAGGTGGCGAGGAGGGAACCGTCCCCGTCGTGCCACGAGTGCGGCGCTGCGGATGACACCGCGCAGCACACCCTACAGGTGTGTAGCCGGTGGGATGAGCAGCGCCGCACTCTGACGGGGACTATAGGGCAGGACCTCTCGTTGCCGAGCGTGGTTGCCGCCATGCTCGATAGCGAGGAGTCCTGGGAGGCGATGGCCTCCTTTTGCACAGAGGTTATGTCGCAAAAGGAGGCTGCGGAGCGGGTGCGCGAGGACGCGGCGGACGCGCACCCGCTCCGGCGCAGACGTACGAGGAGAAGGCGAAGGCAGTTCGCTGCTCGCCTGATCCCCTAGTGAGACCAGCGGGCTCTGGACAGGGACTCCGGAGCCTGCATTGCACGGCCTCACTCGTCTGGGGGGCGGGTCGGAGGACAACCGACTCGTCCCTCCGTTGGCGCGGGAGCCCTGGCGCAAGCTAGGGCGGCCGGGCGGCGTCGTGGTGAATGTTCACTGATCCCACGGCGCCGACTCAACCGGCGAGAGGGAAACCCGGGGGGGTTTTAGTGGAGTAGGCCTTCCAGTGTGGAGGGAGAGTCCCCACATAACCCCTGAGTCTCCCTGGGCTCAGGGGTATCCATAAATTTTTCCTCCCCGTTAAAAAAAAAAAAATAGGCAAGTATATAGGTATACTATAATATAATAATGCTTTTATCATTTTGAAACTTTTCAGATCGCTACCAATTTTACAAGATCTGAAAGATGATGACTTAAACATATCTGAAGCTATCACGCATGCTCTTAGAAAACTATGCTATAACACATCGAATACAGTTCGCAACGTGCTTACTATACAGAAATGCAAGGGTAAAATAAGTCTTACTTCAATACACACATACCATCACTGCTTTCTCTTGCTAGTGAGAGACTATGAATCTACACATCTAACACTAGTCACGCTTCTAACATTCCCCTTTCGCTTACTCCACTCGCACCAGTGTCCATAGATCTTGATGTAGCCTTTGTATCGATATTTAGACCAAATGAATCCAGACCAGAGTAAAAAGAAGTCAATCTTCCGTTTTGTGCTCGAAAATCACACGAGTGACAGATCCCTAGCCTAAACAGTTAATTACTACTACTTATCGAATAAGTTTAATATTCATCAATGTTAAATCCTAGAAATTCAGAAACCAATTTTGAACTTCAAATCCGAAAGAGTCACGCAAAGGCACTGGGTTTCACAAATGATGTTGGACTTGAGAATTAACTCTAAATTTCAGACTGGCTTTCAAATAATTTGACTGATTTCACATTGGGAATTTGTTGTAAAATGGCCCAACTGGAGTAGATCAAAATTCTATTTAAAATTTTAAGTTGTCAGACAGCCTTTTTTACGGATATGCGATACCAGATGTATGATCAGCACAAATGATGGACCATGACATCCATTTAAGAGACGTAATATCTATCTATATCCCTATCAGCGGCGCAACACAGCATGGGGTCAAAATTCTTTTCATAATTGTATATTTTTTCACCATTTATCCGTTTTCATGTCTATCGTACCCTACTCAGCGTGTTTCCAGTGAAAATGCTTCCCCAAATATCGGTATTAAATGGCGAAGACTATCGAGATTAGTGGTTTATCTCAAAAATGCCTAAATTAAATTTTCATATTCAGAATTCCGCTGTGCAGTAAGTAAAAAGAACACCAGACCAGAAACAATTAAGAAAGTTAATTTCCCAAATTGGTCCTAGCGGCAACTAAACCCACAGAACTGAACAGTGCAATCTGTTAGGCCACAGAGGACGTCTTATCTGTACTATTACATTTTATATGCTTGTGAAATCTACAAATAGTAATTGCTTAAATATGACCACCCATTCGTAAAGCAGATTTCCGTGAGAAGAAATATTCGCTTTATTTAGGAGACATGAATTTCTATATTCCATTGCTATTTCCAAAGTTCGCGCTAAGCAGCCAAATGTCGGTCAGCCGACGTCTGCCTTTCTATGAAATATACCTTATTGTTGAGAAGTTATGTTACACTTTGTATTGCCCGGAGTGGCACAAGCCGGTGACATGAGGCTGCGCGGCGCAGCGCGACGCAGCGCGTCTTTTACTTTGCACTCAATGGAATACCCTTTTTAACCGACTTCAAAAAAGGAGGTTTTCAATTCGACTGTATGTTCTTTTTTCTTTTTTTGTATGTATGTTACGCGATAACTCCGGTATTTGTGAACCGATTTTCATGATTCGTTTTTTGTTGGAAAGGGGGTCTTCCATAGTGGGTCCCATTTCATTTTGAAGAAAATCATCCACCTCGAAGGGTGGCTGTTCACGCATGAAAATTCATTTTTATAAATAGCGCCTAAACTTTAATTTAGGAGCAATTACTTTAATGGTTGATTTTGCTATTTCTCCAGTTCAAGGCGTTTTTCTCTCAATATACTTTGAGTAGTGTCGTAGTGAGAACCTATTTTTATTATCTCCAGTGTCAAGTCCTGTATAGTGGCGAACTAGGGGATATTTCAATAAAACTTCGGTTTTTTTAGTACTCTGTACTCAGATTATTATTTCGTAGAAACGAAATTCTATACTGCATTGCATCTACTACACAGTCTGCCCTTGAAAGAAATAGGTATATACCTTATTGTTAGGAAGCTATGTTACACTTTGAATTGCCCGTGGCGGCATTCGCTGACTGCGATGCGCTGCGCAACGCGGTGCAGTGCGACGCAGCGCTGCTTTACTCTTTTGATAAAAGAAATAATACCGTATTCACTAAAGAATACGCTTTAAAATACCTACATTGCATTTTATAAAGTACGTCCGTCTCCGTCTGCCGTCTCTTGCTGCATCTTCGTTTTCATTTTTTTGTTTAAAGGAATGTTGATTTATTTTGTAGAATATAAAGTTCATATTGTATGAAAAAAAATGTTGCATTGCTCGTTTAATAAATCGCCGCGTCGCGTTGCGTCGCAAGCGGACGGCAACGTGAGGTAAACCTAAAAAAGGCTACAAAGTCATACGATGTAACATTTTTATTTACAGAACTGCGACTTCTTAATTTGAAAATCCATACTGTAAAGTATTCAGACCCAGCAGAGTCCCCACCACAAGCTTACGCGTATCGCGTTGTAGACGAACCAAACCTGTATCATATTCCTAACAATTCTCTGCTCGCTGAAATTGCTAAAAAATATTGTCCCATTGTTTATAATTTTACTTTGTACTCGCACTCAAAAAGTTGGATATAATTTTTTAATAAAATATTTTGCATTTCTATGTTATTTTCTTTATTGATCCAAGTAAATAGGTAATTTATTTCTACGGAAAACTCAATTTTATTGAGAATTAAATTATGAATTGTGGAGGTAAGTCTGAAACAGAGATACTGAACAAACACTTGGATATTGGATTTATAGAATTGTAAAATTCTTTGAATAAAATTGTCACATCAAATAGAATTCACGAGATATCGCTTTTGAAATCTTAATTAGGTACAAATCTTTTTTTTCCAACGTATATTTAGTAAGTAGTTGTAGTTAGTAGCACTGGAGTTCCTTGAGGTTCTTCGAAGGAAGTACTGCCATTATCTATTCCTGCCGTCAAATAGTAATGGAAGCATAACTGCGTTTCGATTTTGAAGGTGTCAACAAGGTCAACTTTGTCTCGTAATGGACGTGTGGTAGTGCCCATCAGATCTTTATAACTTAAAGCTCTGAGTGGTATTGCAACTGTTACGGGTGGCCTGTCAATTACTACCAGTTGCACGACTTGCTTGTCCCGTCCGTCACTTGAAATCATAAAAACCGTTGAATGGTGATGCCTTGACTGCGCCACCGAACAAATGGATGAGCTGAAAGCTCCCGTAAACTAAGTCACAAACCTAAGGTTGTCTAGAATGTCTCAATAATAAATAATACTGGATGCTTTCTGGCCAGAAGAGCATACTGTCGGGGTGAATCATCGCGGAATATTCCGATTGAGCAAGTACGACACATGAATCTTGGAACTATGGATAAAAGGACTTGGTTCAACAACGACGTTGCGTTGCTAGGCTGAGGAAAGGACCGGGAGAGGAGCGCGTGTTCACCCACTGCGTCGCTTCGCCATCCGCAGTCGTCTATAGCGCCTACGCGCAGGAAACGCGCGTTTCATAAACGCGCGTTATACTGCGTTACTGAATTGTTTCCGTGTACAAAGGCTTACTGGCTGAAACTGAATCGGTTTACCGCACGTCATCTGTGCTTTTTAATACACTCCCGGACACATAATTCGAGCCACCTCGCATTTTCAGTGTTAAATGCCCTCCGCTTAAACAATGTTTGATTGATCAAAAACTATAAAGGAATTTTGAAATTAGTATACTAAACGCCTTTTCCATAAATCCATGTTGGAAATTTGGATTTACAAAACCGGGGGAAAACTTTGTCTTCGACGATAAGACTACTTTTGTATTCTAAGATTTTAAGACAAAAATGCGAGGTGGCTCGAATTATGTGTCCGGAAGTATATTTTTGCCACTTCTAAACGGTTGCGAGTGGTTTTGAGTTCAGGAGTATTTCAACATAACACTTTAAATATAGGTATCCCTTCTTTAACCTGGTACAAAATAGTCACGGTAAGTACCTATATAACTATTTCTGTTAATAAACATCGTCGAGAAAATAAAGACGCCCTTCGGCTTTGAAAGTTTGCAAATTAATATTCCTTTATGGCTTTGTTAATGACACTTTAATGAATTCCAAACGTCCTTTTACAGACTGGTACTGCAGGGAGTCCAATTATTGGCGTTCGGTGCAGCTTGAAATCCAATTAATTGGTTTTCCTTTTATGAAATTTTCATTTTTAACTAGTAGGAAAACATGACAAAGACTGTGCATTCTTTTTTTACCTTTCATACTGTGCTAGGACTCAATTGTATACCTCACAAGGGACAAAATTAATATCAAATACAGGTGTTTTTCACCTTAAAAAGTCCATTCTGTATTTTCTTTGCATCTATAATCCAATATATAATACGAGGCGAGACGCCTGTCTACATTTTATTTGAAATAATTCCAAGTAATATTTTGATAAGTAAGCAGAAATTCTTAACATTTTTAATTTCTATGAAAAAGTAATTGGAGCGATGTTATTTATTTTATACCACGAAAAATCTAAAACAAAAATTATGTTTCGCAATTCATTAAGGAGCCATCGGACAAAGCCGTATTTATTTTTATTTTTTTTTGCTTTTAGCTAATTATTTTATATGTCGACCATATTTCTAAAAATTTTTGATTTTAACCTTTTTTATGACAAGTGACGACGAGACGAACAAGTCGAGCGCATGGTGGTAAGAGACGTGCCTGTCCATAACAGTTGTAAAGTTGTAAATATCTGAACAACAGCCATTGCGCCTGCCAACCTGAGACATAAGTTGACAAGTCCCATGTGCGTGTAATTTCCGATACCCTTACCCTTCAAAGCCAAAATGCAATAATACTCATATTACTGCTGGATGGTAGAAAATAAATAAGTAAGGTGGCAGTACTTCCCTGGACGAACTCTTGCACAAGGACCTCTACTGCTACAAAACACATTAAGAATAGACTTTTAATCACATTCAAGCGGTTTTCAGATACATTTGGGTGTCTATGTGACCTGTATGAATGGGATTGGGTTTTTGTTCTAAACAAGAAAAAATTAAAATGTGCTCGAACACTTTATTAAATCAATTACAGAGAGTTAGTTCGAAATGTGTATGAAGACAATCGCAATAAAAACTACAGTTGCACTAATAATAACGAAATATGTCACTATTTAAATAGATTGGTTTTTATAAATACATACATGGTGCTATTAAATTACGTACGTTTACTTTTAGAGATAATTACTTACGTCATTATAATTGCTTTGAAGTAAGATAATTGCAATTAAGTCCTTATTAGTTCTTTGAGATATATAAGAAAATGAGTTGATTACTAAACACGCCCTGTTAATAGTATGAAGCTTGGTGTGTGTTAATATTATTCAATGTTATCTTTTAATGCTTTTTCACTATCACCGGCCAATACACTATTAGAGCGAAAAATAATATCAATATCACGGTTCATATTATCTTGTTCGCGAATAATAAATACTCTTTGGAAATGAAATTAATATTGTTAAAATAAAATATTTTGCAAATCGTGTACTTGTAGCGTAAATTTGACAGATTTTTGGTAAATTAAAAAAAAAAGTTATTTAAATTAATAACTTTTGTAACTACAATTCGGTTTATATCAATATTAGACATAATTGGGTCATGACTTTACCATTTCAGTTAGTCGTGGACACGGGACTTGTAAGGAGCCTGTTTGAAAAAACAAATTTACGCGATTCAGACCCGAGAAAAATAGTTTCATTTCCAATTTGTAACATATTATATTATACAATTTGTAGACTATGTTGGGTTAAAAATATATTTTTTATACAACCGTAATAAAAAAATCGCATAAAAAGTCCATAAGATTTACATTTATGTTTTACCTTCATTACCTTGATTACCTTCTGATGCACAAACTGGTGACTCAAAAATTATCAGTACCTAATTTATAAGCACCTTATATAACTATAACAGGTTTGTACACCTTCTTTTTAACCGACTTCAAATAGGAGGAGGTTCGCAATTCGACTGTATTTATTATTTTATATTACTCAGGCATTTGTGAACCGATTTTCTAGATTTTTTTTGGATAAAGGATACCTCAGTTTTGATCCTACTTAAATTTGAAGAAAATATTACACCTCTAAGGGTAGCAAACTAGGCGATGAATCCGGTGTCGCACACTTTCCGGTAACCCATTTCAATAAAACTTGGCAAATAGATGTAATTCCACGAACTTTTCAGGTCGATTTTTTTTACAAAAATGTTATAATCTATATCTATGGTAGTGACGAATGCTACAGTTCGCCATACTATCGCAACTAAGCTTTAATAATATGTCGCATTGAAGTGTATGGAATAAAAATAACAGTTCTTTGTTCATTCGCTTACACGCTATTCGTCACCGCTTATCAAGTAGATATATAACCAGAAGTAGAGACAAAATGTCATTTAATTTGTTTCAGAACTATTCTGCCGAATCATTACGGTGACAACTGCGCTTCGATTGGCCAGCCCGAATTCGAAATGATCGATTCGAATGAATGAGTGGCGTCAATTGTTTCACTTCAAATCGACCAGTTTACTTGAGCTTTGCTATAATGGACGAAATTTGAAAAATTACATATATAATGTTTAATTACTGATGAAATATGATTCCGTTTGTTTTGTAATTAAATGTTTTGCTGTTTTTCCCACAACTCGAATGGAGCAGCTCCCCATAGTTAGCGATATTATCTTTATTACAATAAATACAGAATATTTTTGAAATATACTGAGACGTACACACAGGTAAGTTGTTGGCGCTCTACTATTTGAGCTTTCTAATTTGTGATTTCAGCGCAAACGAGAGTTGACATTTAAAAGTGATATAAGAGCCATTTGCCTGGTGAGTTGCCAGGGATGGATACGAGGACGAAATAAGGGCCATTTCGTCTCTATTTCCGGTTATATAGTGCGTCATTCTATTACTTTATATAACGAGTTCCCAAATCGTTCTACAACACACAACTAATTATCTACAGGTGAAACTAGCCTGCACAGATTGAAGACTATTTATTCCTTCTACACTTTCACTAAATTTAAGTTTGTAAATTTTGCAAATATATAATTGTGTAAGTGACTACAACTGACGTCATAGCACTAAGAAGAGTGTAATCGATTGGAAAAAAGTGCCCTGTGTGGAATTGTATTGGTCTCGAAGATATTAGCTTACGTAGTTCTTTTAGTGGTACTACTGTTTCTTCCTCTGAAAAAAAAAAAAAAACTTTAGTTAATCGTTTTTTACGTACAATCCGGTACTTAGACAATTAAAAACCCACAGGTGGCTAAATAGTTATCTACTATCCTCCCTAGGGCTAGCACAACAGGGCGCGACTTGCGCGAGAGCGTCATAAAACGCGAGATCTCTATCGAGAATAGCAGTATCACGCGCTTTATGCCTGCGCTCGCGCTGGTCGAGTGTGGTCCTGCCAGCTCTACTGGAAGTATGTCCAGTATATCCATGAGTCCTTGATATATTCTAGAAATATCTTTAGCTGAGGCCTGACCTCGGCGTAGAAGCACAATATCTTATTCGGTAAATGAGTTTATGAGTGAAAAATAAAAGAAGGACTCACGGAAAGCTCACGCGTTTACTTTGATTTTAAAATAATGAATTGAAATTTATGAATAATTTATGTATTTAGTTTTAAGCTTACTTGCATTACCCTGACTGGGTTGTGTTCAATACAAAATTTTATTTTAAGACCTTTTTGATATGTACATGTGCAATATCAGATAAATAAATAAATACCTTTGCTTGTATATGGGTAGACACAGAAAAGTTACTTGGTCCATTTACTTACTGGCTTTTCTACAAATTATCAAATCGTCAATGCTTTCAATGATGCGGTCATTCTGTCTGTATACCTTCTCACATCGATGTACCAAAGTGTGCATGTTAGTGCAGATAACCAGGAGGCGAAGTATGCTCGTTAGAAACACCATTATCCCATAGTTACTCTGAATCTAAAATTTTTTGAATAACAGAAAAGATATGTATTTCGATCTACGCCAACTTAATTTTTTGACCTGTTCTGTTTTTGTTGCTTTTTTTTCACAAATTCTGTTTTTTGTTTCTTTATTTTTTTTTTCACAAAATTCGTGGAGCATAAATATTAGGAAAAAATATGGTTGTTTGCAAAAATGACAGATAAAAACAAAACATGCCCAAAAAATAAAGTAGGCGTAGTGATAATTGGTGGTACCGATTTACAATATTTATTTTTTTTGAACAATTAGTAGCAGTAAAGCTCCTGGTGAAAGAGTTCGTCCAGGGAAGTACTGCCAAGTTATCTATTTCTACAGCCAAGCAATAATGTTAGCATTACTGTGTTCCGGTTTGGAAGGGTAAGGGTGCTGGTGAAATTACACAGGACTTGTCAACTTATGTCTCAGGGTGACGGGCGCAGTGGTAGTGCGCCTCAGATCTTTTTGAGATTTAAAGAGCTGAGTGGCACCACAACTGTTATGGACAGGCGTGTAGCTTACCATCAGGCGCACGACTTGTCCTCCCGTCACTGGATATTTGACTGATTGACTGATTTGATTAATTTCTTATTAATATTGACACAAAGATGAAACAAACGCAAAGAAAAATTACGACTGACTGAACACGAACTAGCATCTGTCGCCTCAATATCGACTGAAGCATTTTTCTTAGTATTTGCTTTTTATATAATAAGTATATTTAACATTTGACTTTTCTATGAAAATTGGTGGAGTGCGAGAGACCGTGGACTTTTAAATAAATGAATGATACTCACACTAGAAAGTACTTTGTTACAACTTATGATCTTCAAACACAGTGACATTGACAACTTTATTGTATAATTAGCTTCCATGTATTGTTTTAGACAAAATAATAAAATGTAATTTTTAACCGTCTTCAAAAAGGAGGAGGTTCTCAATTTGACTGTATGTTTTTTTTGTATGTATGTTACGCGATAACTCCGGTGTTTGTGAACCGATTTTCATGATTCTTTTTTTGTTGGAAAGAGGTACCTCCATAGTGGTCCCATTTAATTTTGAACAAAATCATTCAAGATTTATTTTTATAAATAGCGCCTAAATTTTATTATAAGGAGCAAATATTTTAATGGTTGATTTTGCTATTCTCCAATTCAAGGCGTTTTTTCTCTCAATATACTTTGAGTAGTGAGAACCGATTTTTATTATCTCCCGTGTCAAGTCCCTTATAGTGGCGAACTAGGTGATGAATCCGGGTTTGCGCACTTTCCGGTAACCGGTTTTAATAAAACTTGGTAATTATATGTAATTCCACGTACTGACGTGACTTACTCTTTAGTACTCTCTCTGAAATTATTAATAGTAAAAAAGTAATATTTAAGTTTATTGAATGTCACGATGATATATACAACTATTTTTATGAAATTTTATTCAATCTAGTTTGTTACAATTATTCAATGATCGATTTGTTGTGAACTGATTGAAAAGAAATAGTTTTCTCACAGAAATCGCTACGGCAAAAAAGTTAAACCAGAAACAAAGGTCTGCAAAAGAAAAATTCGTAAATTGGCAGAGGGTGCCAGTTCGAATCCAGCCCGAAGGAATGAATTTTCTTAGCATTTCGATCTTTGTTATAAGAATTATAATAAATAAGTATTTTGTGTATCTTACCAGCGTTCCAAATAGAACTCGAATGGCGAGATTTAATAAATTAACCAAATCGATTATGTTAATTACACATATGAGGAGAATCTGAAAAAGATAATTAATATTTACTTC